GGGGATGAGCTGCTGCTGCTGCTGCTGCTGCTGCGCCTCCTCCTCCTCTTCCTGCTGCTGCTGCTGCTGCTGCTGCTGCTGCTGCTGGTATTTGTTTATGCTGTTCTATAATAAACAAATAAATATTTAACTAATATGCTTCTCTTATTTTCTTAGTTTAAAAACTCTTACTGCTGCTATCTTATCGAAGATGTTGCAGAGTCGAAGCAAACAAATCTTAAGGCTTCGGCTGAACTGAAGAAGAAAAAATAAAGAGAAAATAAAACAAATGAAAACAATTAGAAACAAAATATTAAATTAAATTAAATAATAAAGATAAATAAACAAAAACATTTATAAACAATTCACAACATATCAAATAAAAAACAAATAAAATAATAAATTGATGATACGGTGAATAAACAAAATTCGTAGAAATTAAAAACAAATTAATAAATATAAAACAAAATAATTTAAAAGCAAACACAAAATAATGAGAAGTAAACAAAAGTTAATAATAAAATAATAAGAAATAAAACAAATAAAATTAAAGAAAATAAACAGAGCAGTCTTCACAAACAAAAATAATACACAAAATAATCACGAGTAAAGACAAATACAAAGAAATAAACAAAACTAAATAATTAAATTAAATTAAATTAAATTAAATTAAATTAATTTTCTTCTTTCAAGAAATAAACAAACCATTACAAAACAAAACAAAATAGAAAATACAGAAACAAAACAAAACAAAACAAAACAAAATAAAATAAAATAAAATAATATAATATAATATAACGCGAAATAAAATTAAATTAAATTAAATTAAATTAAATTAAATTAAATTAAATTAAATTAAATTAAAATATTTTTTCTCTGACTTTGTCCCAGGCCTTCACTGCCATTAAACCCCAGACGGGGAATTCATCCAACCTAAGAAAAGCAAATAAATTAAATTAAATTAAATTAAATAAATAAATTAATTGATTTATAACTTCATTTATTAAATTAATGAGTTAATTAATAAAGAAGCAAAACAGAAGCATAAATAACAACAAGAAGAAAAGAAAAAGAAAAAAAAGAAGAGAAGAAAATAAAAAAAAGAAAGAGAAGAACACAAAGAAGAGCCAACAAAAAGAAAAAGAAAAGAGCAAAGAAAAAAAAAAAGACGAAAGAAGAAGAAAAAGAAGAAGAGACAGAAAACAGAGAAAAGCAGAAAAGAAAGAAAAGAGAAACAACAAACAAATATAAAAAAATTAAAAAAGAAAAAGAAAAAGAGAAGAAAAAGAATTAAAAGAATAAAAAGAATAAGACAAACAAAACAAAAAAATAATAGCAAGAAAGAAAACAGAGAAGAGTAATTTGTTTTTGTTTAAATAATTAACAAACAAAAACACAAATTAAAGAAAAGGCAAAAAGAAATAAAAAACATAATACAGAAGAATAAAGAACAAAAAAGAAAGACAAACAAAAATAAGAAAAGAAGAAGAGAGAAGAATAAAGAGCAGAGAAAAAGAAGAAAAAAGAGAAAAGAAAAAAGAAAGAGCAAACAAAAAGAAAGAAGAAATAATAAATACAAAAAAGAGAAAAGAAATAACAACCAGAAAGGAAATAATAAATAATAAATAAACAAGAAAGAAGAAAGAAGAAGTAAAGAAGAAAAGAGACATAATAAATAATAAATAACGAAATAAGAAGACAGAAGAGAGAAGAAAAACATAAGACAAGCTGCAAAGAAAGAAGAAAAAGAACGAAGAAGAATGAGCAAAAAGAATAAGCAGAAAACAAAAATAAAAAAGAGAAGAAGAATGAAGAGTAACGAAGAGAGAAAGAGAAAGATATACAAACAAAAAATAAATAAATAAAACAAAGAAGAAGAAAGAAAAATAAATAAAAATAATTAAAAACTTACAAGAGAGATATATCCACATCAATTTCTAAAAAGAGACAGCGCCTCATTTCTTCTTTTTGTTTTTCTGCTGCTGCTGCCGCTGCTGCTGCTTCTGCTGCTGTTGCTGCT